TAACCAAAGAAGTAGATCTGAAAACTATAAAACACTGATAAGAGAAATTGAAGATGACACAAAGAAGTGGAAAGATATTCCATGCTCATGAATTGGAAAAACAAATATTGTTGAATGTCTACCCTACCCAAAGCAACCTACACTTTTAATGAAAACCCTGTCAAAATACCAGCAGCATGTTTCACAGAGATAGAACAAACAATTCTAAAATTTGTGTGAAACCACAAGAGACCCTTAATTGTGAAAGCAATCTTGAAAAAGAAAAGCAAAGTTGGAGGCATCAAAATTCTGCTGTATTACAGCTATATTACAAAGCTGTAGTCATCAAGACAGCATGGTACTGGCACAAAAACAGACACATTGATCAATGGAACAGAATAGAGAACCCAGAAATGGACCACAACTCTATGGTCAACTGATCTTCTACAAAGCAGGAAAGAATATCCATGGGAAAAAAAAAAAGTCTCTTCCACAAATGGTGTTGGGAAAACTGGACAGCAACATGCAGAAGAATAAAACCAGACCACTTTCTTACACCACACACAAAATAAACTCAAAATGGATAAAATACCTAAATGTGAGACAGGAATCTATCAAAATCCTAAAGGAGAACACAGACAGCAAGCTCTTTGACATAGGGCATAGAAACTTCTTACTAGACACATTTACAGAGGCAAGGGAAACAAAAGCAAAAAACAAACAATTGGGGCTTCATCGAGATAAAAAGCTTCTGCACAGGGAAGGAAACAATCAACAAACCTAAAAGGCAACCTATGGAATAGGAAAAGATATTTACAAATGACATATTTGTGAAGGGTTAGTATCTAAAATATATAAAGGACTTATCAAACTCAACACCACAAAAATAAGTAATTCAGTTAAGAAATGGGCAAAAGACATGAATAGACTTATTTCCAAAGAAGACATCCAGATGGCTAAGAGACACATGAAAAGATGTTCAACATTACTCATCATCAGGGAAATACAAATCAAAATCTCAATGAGATACCACCTCCCAACTGTCAGAATGGCTAAAATTAACAATACAGGAAAAAACAGATGTTGCTGAGGATGTGCAGAAAGGGGAACCCTCTTACGCTGTTGGTGGGAATGCAAACTGGTGTAGCCATTCTGGAAAACACCTGAAAAAGTTAAAAATAGAAGCATCCTTTGACCCAGCAATTACACTAGTAGGTATTTACCCAAATGATACAAAAAAACTTATTCCAAGGGGCACAGAGAGCTTAATGTTTATTTAGTTTTTAAGATTTATTTATTTATTTGAGAGAGAGTGAGAAAGGAACAGAGTGGGGTGAGGGACAGAGAGAAAGGGAGAAAGAGAATATCAAGTAGACTTCCCACTGAGTGCAGAGCCCGACATGGGGATCAATTTCACAACTATGAGATCATGATGTGAGCCAAAATCAAGAGTTGGACATTTAACAGACTGTGCCACCCAGGCCCTCCTCACCCTGATGTTTATAGCAACATTATCAACAATAACCAAGTTAAGGAAAGGGCCCAAATGTCCATCAAATGATAAATGGATAAAGAAGTGGTGTGTGTGTGTGTGTGTGTGTGTGTGTGTGTGTGTATATATATACATATATATATATATATAATGGAATATTACTCAGCCATCAGAAAGAATGAAATCTTGCCATTTGCAATGACCTGGATGGAGCTAGAGTGTATTATGCTAAGCAAAATACGTGTTAGTCAGAGAAGACAAATACCATATGATTTCACTCATATGTGGAATTTAAGAAATGACATAAACAAGTAAGGGAAAAATAAAAAAGAGAGAAAAAATGAAATCAAGAAACAGACTCTTAATGATAGAGAACAAATTGATGATTGCCTGAGAGGAGGTGGGTGGCGGGATGCGCTAAGTAGGTAATGGGGTTTAAGAGTGCATTGTTGTGATAAGCACATGGTGATGTTTTGAATTGTTAAATCACTATATTGTACATCCAGAAGTAATATGACACTCTCTGTTAACTAACTGGAATTTAACTAAAAACTTAAAGAAATAAAAATAAAATTGAAAAAAGGATATAAAAATTATAAACATATATAGACTCTGGAAAAAAATCAGAATCCTAAAATAAGAGCAAACATTGACAACCTTGAAGAAAGAAACAGCCAGTTCTAAAATAACAGTTGGAAAGGTCAATATAACATTTTCAGTAATGGAGAGAATATCTATATAGATCAGTAAGAGATAGAGGATTTGAATAACACTATAAACCAAATGTAACTAATAAATGTTTATAGAACAGTACAACCGATAACATAAGAATGCACTTACTTCTCAATTGTACATGGAGCATTATCAAGAATAATTCATACATAGTCAATTAAAAAATATTGAAATCATACAACGTATCTTCCTAAAGACAAGAGAGTGAAGTTAGATGTCAATAGTGGAAGGAAAAAAATAAAATATAACTAATATATTGAAATTATAGTAAACTCTCTTAACTAATAAGTCAAAGAGAAAATCATAAGTGAAATTAGACAATATCTTGAAGGAAGAGAAAAATAATACACACTAAAACCATTGAGAAGGACTGATAGCAGTGTCCAAAGGGAAACATACTATGTAAATGTTCACATTAAAAAATACGAGATATTTCAAATCAGTAACCCAACATTATGACTTATGAAGCTAAAAAACAACAGGAAACTAAATTCCACACTAGCAGAAGGAAAGAAATAATGAAGATTAGAATGGAAATAAATAAAAGAGATTATAAAAATAGATAAAATTATTGCAACTAAGAGTTAGTATTTTGAGATTAAAAAAATTGATAAATGCTTAGCTAAATTGTCTATGAAAATAAGAAAAAATACTCAAATAACTAAAATTAGGGGTGAAGGGTAATATTGCTACTGATTTTACAGGAAAAATGGATTAAAACAGAGTACAATGAACATTTGCACCCCAACAAATTGGATATTCTAGATGCTGCAGATAAATTCCTTGAAACACACAACGTACCAGATTGATCATGAAGAAATAGAGTGAATAGACTTATACCTAGTAAAAAGATTGAATCAGTATTCAAAAACATCCTGACAAAGTAAAGCCCAAATCCAAATAGAGCAACTGGTGAAATCTAGCAAACATAGTAAAAAAAAAAAAAATTAACACCAACCCTTTTCATAATCTTCTAAATAATTAGAGAGAACACTTTTAATTTAATCCATGAGGGCAGAATTACCTTAACGCCAAAGCCAGACAAAGTTACTTCAAAAGAGAACTATGGACCAATATTCCTTATAAATATTAAATTCCCTCAACAAAATACTATTAAACAAAATTCAATAGCATATCAAAAGGAGTATATACTACAGGTAAGTTGGCTTTATTCCTGAAATGCAAAGATGTTTCAAAATATGAAAATCAACCAATGTAATTAATTAACAACATTAACATAGTGAAGGGGAATAAATGATCATCTCAATGTGGAAAATGCTGTTCACAAAACCTAATACACTTTTATAATGACAATTTTAAAAAAAAAATTGGAAATACAGTTCTCTTCCCCTATTCACATGAGATACAGTCCAAAATCCCCACCAGATGACTGAAATAATGGATGGTACTAAACCCTATATATACTATATTTGTTTCTATACATACATACATAAATTCCTATGATAAAAGTTTAATATATAAATTAGGCACAGTAAGAGATTAACAATAAATACTAATAAAATAAAACAATTATAGCAACATATTATAATAAATGTGTGAATGTGATCTCTCATTCTCTCTCAAAATCTTATTGTACTGTGCTCACACTTCTTCTTGTGATGATGTGAGATAATAAAATGCCTACATAATGAGATGAAGTGAGGTGAATGTGATAGGCAATGTGACATAGCATTAGGTTACTATTGACCTGACCCTACATCAGAAGTAGGATCATTTGCTTCCAGACTGTAGCTGACCATGGAAACTAAAACCACAGAGAGTGAAATTCTGGAAAAGATGGGACAACTACAGAAGAAAACTATCTCAATAATTAAGGACATATTTGAAAAACCCACAGTTAACATCATACTCAATCATAAAAGACCAAAAGATTTTCCTCTAGTACTAAGAATAAGAAAAGGATGTGGACTTTTGCAACTGCTACTTAGTAGAGTACTGTAACTTCTAGATAGAGCATTTGGGCTAGAAAAACACATAAGTATAACCAAATTAGAAAAAAAAGAACATAAAATTATATCCTTTTGCAGACAACAGGATCTTACATGTAGAAAACTCTAAAGATTAAGCACACACACACGAGTTGTTAGAGCAAACAAAGTCATCAAAGTTGTGGGAAATAAAAATCAATATTTGCATTAATATGTTTATATACCAAAAAGAATAAAATACATAAGAATAAATTTAATTTAGGAAGGAATATATTTGTACATTGAAAAAATAATATTAAAGAAGACACAAATATATGAAAAGGCACTTTGTGTTCCTTTGGATTGGATTGGATTGGAAGACTTAGTACTGTTAAGATGTCAATATTATCCACACTAAACAAGTAAGAACTATTAAAAGGGATCCTTTGAGTGGAGAGAGGGCTCAAAAGAAACAAAGATGAGAAAGGAAGAGAGAAAATCTACAAGAACAGTAACTTTATAGATAATACAATGGCATGAAATTCACATCCTTCAATAATTACTCTGAATGTAAATGGACTAAATACTCCAATCAAAAGACACAGGATATAAGATTGGATTTAAACAACAACAACAACAACAACAAAACAAGACCCATCAATGTGCTGTCTACAAGAGACTCATTTTAGACCCAAAGATGCCTACAGATTGAAAGAGGGGATGGAGAACCATTAATCATGCTAATGGACACCAAAAGAAAGTTGGAGTAGCAATCCTTATATCAAATTAGATTTTAGCCCCCGCCCGCCGCAGCCCCCCGAGCAGCGGCCTGGCACCGGCGCCTTCCCGACGGGCAGTGAGAGTGAGTCATGGAGCTGCGTGTGGGAAACAAGTACTGCCTGGGACAGAAGATCGGGAGTGGGTCTTTTGGAGACATCTACCTGGGTGCCAACATTGCCTCTGGTGAAGAAGTTGCCATCAAGCTTGAGTGTGTGAAAACGAAGCACCCACAGCTGCATATCGAGAGCAAGTTCTCTCTCTCTCAAATAAATAAATAAAATCTTAGAAAAAAATTCATGGAAACAAATGAAAATGAAAACATAACTGTTCAAAACCTTTGGGATGCAGCAAAGGCAGTCCTAAGAGGAAAATATATAGCAATATGAGTCGTTCTCAAGAAATAAGAATAGTCTCAAATACAAAACCTAAAGGAGGTGAAGAAAGAACAGCAAATAAAGCCTAAACCAAGCAGGAGAAGAGAAATAATAAAGATTAGAGGAGAAATAAAGTGAAATAGGAACAAAAAGAACAGTAGAAGAGATCAATGAAGCTAGGAGCTGTTTTTTTTTGTTTATTTTTTTAAAGATTTTATTTATTTATTAGAGAGAGAGAATGAGAGATAGAGAGCACGAGAGGGAAGAGGGTCAGAGGGAGAGGCAGACTCCCCGCCGAGCAGGGAGCCCGATGTGGGACTCGATCCCGGGACTCTAGGATCATGACCTGAGCCGAAGGCAGTCGCTTAACCAACTGAGCCACCCAGGCGCCCTAGGAGCTGTTTTTTTGAAAGACGTAATAAGATTGATAACCCCTAGCCAGACTTATCAAAAAGAGAAAAGACTCAAATTAATAAAATCATGAATGAAAGAGGAGAGATCACAACCGACACTGAAGAAATACAAACAAGTAAAAGAATATATTATGAGCACCTATATGCCAATAAATTAGTCATTCTGGAAGAAATGGATACATTCCTAGAAACATATAAACTAAACTGAAACAGGAAGAAATAGAAAACTTGAAAAGAACCATAATCAACAAGGTAATTGAATCAGTAATCAAAAATCTCCCAAAAAAAGAGAGTCCAGGACCAGATGGCTTCCCAGGGGAATTCTACCAAACATTTAAAGAAGAATTAATACCTATACTTCTCAAGCTGTTTCAAAAAATAGAAATGGAAGGAAAACTTCCAAACTCGTTCTTTGAGGCCAGCATTACCTTGACCCCAAGAACAGACAAGGACCCCAGCGAAAGGAGAATTACAGACTACTATCCCTAATGAACATGGATGCAAATCTCACCAAGATACTAGCCAATAGGATCCAATAGTACAATAAAAGGATTATTCACCACGACCAAGTGGGATTTATTCCTGGGATACAGGGGTGGTTCAATATCCACAAATCAAGCAATGTGATACACCACATTAAAAAAAGAAAGGTAAAGAATCATATGATCCTCTCCATTGATTCAGAAAATGCATTTGACAAAATACAGCGTCCTTTCTTTATTAAAACTTTCCGCAGCGGAGGGATACAGGGAACATATGTCAATATCATAAAACCCACATAAGAAAATCCCACAAGGAATATCATTCTCAATGGGGAAAAAATGAGAGCTTTTCGCCCACAAATGTTAGATCTCATATAGAAATTCAGCAAAGTGGCAGGATACAAAATTAATGCACAGAAATCAGTTACATTTTTATACACTAGCAATGAGACAGAAGAAAAAGAAATTAAGAAATCAATCCCATTGGGAGGGCCCTAGGGCTTGTCCTGAGTGTGGTGCACCTTGAGGAGATCTTGGCAGATGCCTGCAAATCAACTGCATGGGGGCGCCTGGGTGGCTCAGTTGGTTAAGCAACTGCCTTCGGCTCAGGTCATGATCCTGGAGTCCCAGGATCGAGTCCCAGGATCGAGTCCCAGGATCGAGTCCCGGGATCGAGTCCCGCATCAGGCTCCCTGCTCAGCAGGGAGTCTGCTTCTCCCTCTGACCCTCCCCCCTCTCATGTGCTCTCTCTCCCTCTCTCTCAAATAAATAAATAAATAAAATCTTAAAAAAAATCAACTGCGTGGTTTGGGGGCGCTTGGAAACCCCAGCGGGCGGCGGGCTGGGAGGGGCGCGTGGAGCCGTAGGGGCAAGGAGTCGGGTGGCAGGACGGGTGACCCGGAGCTCAGCGCCGGCGGGCGCGGGTGTCCCAGCGATGTGTGGCGCTGAAGCGGCATCGGAGCGGCGGCGGCGACGGCGGCTGCGGGCTCGACCTCAGCTTCGCAGCGGTGCCGGCGGCGGAGACGGAGGAGCAAGTTCCTCATTAGGACCTGGCGAGCCCAGGCCTAATCGATGGCCCCGCGAGGCCTCTGCATAGCGCCCCGGACGTGGACCCTCCCCGCCTCGCCCTGCCTCGGGAGCCTGCCTCCCCGGCAGGGGATGAAGCCGGGAGGCGGCCGCACGGGGCCCAGCACAAAGGCTTGTCCCCGGGGGCCTCCGCCGCCAGCCTAGAGCCGCCCGCCGAAGCGGAGCCGGCGCCGGGGCCCTCATCCCCGCCGGTCCCTGGGGACGGCTGCTGCCAGTCTCCCCGAGGCCCAGGGACCCGAGCGCGGAGCCCCTTGCTCCCTTGGCTACAGTGGGACTGGGCAGCTGTGCAGCCTCCGCCGCTCCCGGCTGTAGAGGCCTCACGGAGCACGTCGGGGGAGAGCGACATGGAGAAAGCCATCAAGGAAACTCCATTTTAGAGGAATATAATATCAATTGGACTCAGAAGCTGGGAGCTGGAATTAGTGGTCCAGTTAGAGTCTGTGTAAAGAAATCTACTCAAGAACAGTTTGCACTGAAAATTCTTTTTGATCATCCAAAAGCTAGATATGAGGTACGTCTGCACATGATGTGTGCCACACACCCAAATATAGTTCAAATTATTGAAGTGTTTGCTAACAGTGTACAGTTTCCTCATGAGTCCAGCCCCAGGGCTCAACTCTTAATTGTAATGGAGGTGATGGAAGGGGGAGAGCTATTTCACAGAATCAGCCAGTATGGCACTTTACAGAGAAGCAAGCCAGCCAAGTAACAAAGCAGATAGCTTTGGCTCTACAGCACCGTCACTTGTTAAACATCGCTCACAGAGACCTCAAGCCTGAAAATCTGCTCTTCAAGGATAACTCTTTGGATGCCCCAATGAAGTTGTGTGACTTTGGATTTGCCAACATTGACCAAGGTGACTTGATGACACCCCAGTTCACCCCTGATTATGTTGCACCTCAGGTATTGGAGGCACAGAGAAGGCATCAGAAGGAGAAATCTGGCATCAGACCTACCTCGCCAACACCCTACACTTACAACAAGAGCTGTGACCTGTGGTCCCTAGGGGTGATTATCTATGTGATGTCACATAGATAAATGGAACAGAATAGAGAACCTAGAAATGGACCCTCTTTTTTACTTCAAACACCACAGCTGAACTATCCCAAAGGATATGCGGAGAAAGATCATGACAGGCAGTTTTGAGTTCCCAGAAGAAGAATGGAGCCAGATTTCAGAAATGGCCAAAGATGTTGTAAGGAAGCTCTTGAACGTCAAACCAGAGGGAAGACTCACCATAGAGGGAGTATTGGACTACCCCTGGCTCAACTCGACTGAGGCCTTGGATAATGTGCTACCCTCTGCTCAACTGATGATGGATAAGGTGGTGGTTGCAGGAATCCAGCAGGCTCACGTGGAACAGTTGGCCAACATGAGAATCCAGGATCTGAAAGTCAGCCTCAAACCCCTGCACTCTGTGAACAACCTCATTCTGAGGAAGAGGAAATTACTCGGCACCAAGCCAAAGGACGGTGTTTATATCCATGACCATGAGAATGGAGCCAGAGATTCAAATGTTGCCTTGGAAAAGCTCCAAGATGTGATTGTTCAGTGTATTCTCCCCCATGCTGGAGAGAATGAAGATGAAAAGTTGAATGAAGTAATGGAGGAGGCTTGGAAGTATAACCGGGAATGCAAACTCCTAAGAGATACTCTGCAAAGCTTCAGCTGGAATGGTTGTGGATTCACAGATAAAGTAGATCGACTAAAACTGGCAGAAATTGTGAAGCAAGTGATAGAAAACAAACCAAGTCCCATGAATCCCAATAATGACAGCTTCAGACTTTGTTTTTTTAACAATTTGAAAAATTATTCTTTAATGTATAATTTTTATGTAAATTAATTAATCATAATTTCATTCCCATATTACTTAAAGATGCTGTGTAGATTTAGATACAGGACTTAATCATAGTATGGTTCATTTGTTTGTTTTTAAGAAAAGCTCAGTTCCTAGAGATATACTATTACTCTAGGACTGTTTTCTGATATGTTTGTAAGATGACAGATGGTATCTTCAAACAAAATTGTTTTATTTGTAATAAAGTGTACAAAAACCATTCGCCAGTGGTAGACAAAGGACCGGCTATACTGACCTGTTTAGTAAACAGTTGAATCAAAAAAAAAAAAAGAAAAGAAGAAGAAAGAAAGAAAGAAAGAAAGAAGAAAGAAAAAGAAAGAAAGAAAGAAAGAAAGAAAGAAAGAAAGAAAGAAAGAAATCCCATTTACAATTACACCAAAAACCATAAGATACCTAGGAATAAACCTAAGCAAAGATGTAAAGAATTTGTACTCTGAAATCTATAGAACACTGAAGAAAGAAATTGAGGAAGACACAAAGAAATGGAAAAACATTCTATGCTCATGGAATTTAAGAAAAATTATTGTTAAAATGTCTATTTTACCCAGAGCAATCTACACATTCAATGCAATACCTATCAAAATAACATTTACATTTTTCACAGAACTGGGACAAATAATCCTAAAATTTGTATGGAACAAGAAAAGACCTCAAATAGCCAGAGGAATGTTGAAAAAGGAAACCAAATCTGGTAGCATCACAATGCCAGACTTCAAACTGTATTACAAAGCTGTAATCATCAAGAGAGTATGGTACTGGCACAAAAACAGTCACATAGATAAATGGAACAGAATAGAGAACACAGAAATGGTCCCTCAACTCTATGGCCAACTAATCTTTGGCAAAGCAAGAAAGAATATCCAATGGGAAAAAAGTCTCTTCAACAAATGATGTTGGGAAAATTGGACAGCCACATGTAGAGGAATGAAACTGGAACATTTTCTTACATCATACACAAAAATAGATTCAAAATGGATGAAAGACCTAAATGTGAGACAGGAATTCATAAAAATCCTAGAGGATAGCACAGCAACCTCTTTGACCTCGGCTGCAGCAACTTCTTGCTAGACACATCTCCAAAGGCAAGGGAAACAAAAGCAAAAATGAACTATTCAGACTTCATCATAATAAAAAGCTTTTGCACAAGGAAGGAAATAGTCAACAATACCAAGAAACAACCTACAAAATGGGAGAAGATATTTGTAAATGTCTCATCAGATAAAGGACTAGTATCCAAAATCTACAAAATCTTATCAAACTCAACACCCAAAAAACAGAAAATCCAGTCAAGAAATGGGCAGAAAGCAATGTCCACAATAGTCAAACTGTGGAAATAGCTGAGATGTCCTTCAACAGATGAATGGATAAAGAAGAGATATGGTCCATATATACAATGAAATATTACTCAGCCATCAGAAAGGATGAATACTTACAATTTGCATCAACACGGATGGAACTGGAGGGGATTATGCTAAGTGAAATAAGTCAAGCAGAGAAATAATTCACTCATATGTGAAACATAAGAAATAGTGCGGAGGACACTAGGGGAAGGGAGGGAAAACTGAGTGGGAAGAAATCAGAGAAGGAGACAAACTATGAAAGACTCTGGACTCCAGGAAACAAACTGAGGGTTACAAAAGGGTGGGGGTGGGGGATGGGGTAACAGGGTGATGGGTATTAAGGAGGGCACGTGTGGTGATGAGCACTGGGTATTATACACAACTAATGAATCATTGAACACTACATCAAAAACTAATGATGTACTCTATGTTGGCTAATTGAACTTAAAAAAAAGGAAAAGAAATTAAAAAAATGGACACAATACATGAACAGACATTTCTCCAAAGAAGACTTATAAATGGCCAACGAACACATGAAAAAATGCTCGACCATCATTCAGCATTAGGGAAATACAGATCAAAACCACAATGAGAAACCACCTCACACTGGCAGAATGGCTAAAATATAAGTCAGGAAACAGCAAATACTGGCAAAGATGCAGAGAAAGGGAAACCCTTTTACAGTGCTGGTGAGAATGCAAGCTGGCACAGCCATTGTGGAAAACGGTATTAATATTCCTCAAAAATTTAAAAACAGACCTACCTTATGACCAGCAATTGCACTACTAGCTATTTACCCAAAAGATACAAATGTAGTGATCTGAATGGGCATCTTCACCCCAATGTTTATAGCAGCTATGTCCACAATAGCCAAACTATGGAAAGAGCCCAGATGTCCATCGACAGATGAAGGGATAAAGAAGATGTGGCATATATACACAATGGAATATTACTCAGAAATAGAAAAAAATGATATCTTACCATTTGCAATGACGTGTATGGAACTAGAGGGTATTATGCTAAGCAAAATCAGTAAGTCAGAGAAAGATAATTATCATATGATTTCACTCATATGTGGAATTTAAGAAACAAAACAAAAGATCATAAGGGAAGGGAAGGTAAAATAAAGTAAGATGAATTCAGAGAGGGAGACAAACTATAAAGACTCTTTTTTAGAAAAGATTTTACTTATGTATTTGACAGAGAGAGCGAGAGAGCACAAGCAGGGGGAGCAGTAGTAAGAGAGGGATAAGCAGGTTCCCCACCAAGCAGGAAGCCCCATGAAGGGCTCAATCCCAGGACCCTGGGATCATGACCTGAGCCAAAGGCAGATGCTCAACCATATGAGCCACGCAGACTCCCCAAAGACTCTTAACTATAGGAAACAAACAGGGTTGCTGGAGGGGTAGTGGGTGGGGTGATGTGGTAAATGGGTGAAGGGCATTAAGGAGGGCATGTGATGTAATGAGCACTGGGTGTTATATGCAACTGATGCATCACTAAATTCTATCTCTGAAACTAAAAATACATTATATGTTAATCAATTGAATTTGAATAAAATAAAATTTAAAAAGATGTCAGTATTATACAAAGCGATCTATAGATTCAATGTATCCCTATTACAATAGAACAGCTTTTGGTAGAAATAGAAACATCTATCCTAAACTTATGTTCAGTCAGAAGGGCTTTCAAATAGTTAAGAAAAATATTGAAAAAAAAAGAAAAAATGGAAGGTCTTAGACTTTTTGATTTAAAGAGTTAATACTAAGTAATGGTAATAATATCATTGCAATACTGACATTAAACCATACATATACCAGACCAATGGAATAGTATAGAGATCTCCCACAAAACTCACATATATTGTCAAATGTTTTTTTCACAAGGGTGTCAAGATAATTGAATGAGAAAAGGATTGTCTTTTAAGAAAATATTATTGGTAAAACTGGATATCCATTTGCAAAAATTAAGTTGGACCCCTGCCATATGTCATATAAAAAAACTAACTGAAAATGGATCAAAGACCTAAATTTAAGAGCTAAAATCATAAAAGTCCTAGAAGAAAACAGTAAAATATTCATGGTCGTGGGTTTGGCAATGATTTTATGAATATCCAATAAAAGAAGAGGAAACAAAAGAAAAACAGGTAAATTATACTTCATCAAAATTAGGCACTTTTGTGCATTTAAAGTCACAATGAACAGAGTGAAACTGTAACCGAGGTGATATAAAAATATTTGCAGGTAATATATTTGATAAGAGATGAATATTCACAAGCTATAAATAATATATAAATTCAGGAACAACAATTTAAAATGTGCAAAAGAATTGAACAGACATTTTTCCAAAGATACATAAAATGTCCAACAAGCACATGAGAAAATACTGAACATCACTAATCATTAAGGAAATAAAACTAAAAACCATGATTATATATCATTTCACACCTATCATATGGCCATTATTATAAAATAAAATAAATGAAAAGGTGATATCAAGGATATGGAGAAATTGGAAAACCCACATTGCTAGTGGAAATGTGAATTGTTATAACTTCTATGGAAAATAGAATGGAAGGTTCCCAAATAATTACACATCACATAGAATTCCATTTTTGGGTATATACCTAAAATAACTGAAAGCAGGGCCTAGAACATAATATTTGTACACCTATATTTATAACAACATTATTCATAATAGTCAACTATCATAGCAAATCAAGAATCCATTGACAGATAAAGGAGTAAAGAAAATGTGGTTACATTGTCTATTTGGGCTTCCTTAACAGAATACCATAGTTTAGTGGCTTAAACAACAACAACAACAAAATTATCTTCTCACAGTTCTGGAGACTAGAAACCCAATATCAAAATCAATATCAATATCAATATCATCAATATCAATATCAAGGGAAGGAATCTCTCCTTGGGTTACAGATGACCTCTTTCTTTCTATGTCCTCACACAGCAGAGAGAGAAAGAGATTTCTTTCCCTCTTTATATAAAAACCAAAGTCCTTTGGATTAGGGCCCTACTCTTATGAACTTGTTTATGCTTACTTAGCCCTTAAAGAATTTATCTGCAAATACGGTAACATTAGAGATTAAGAATTCAATACACAAATTTTGAAGGGACATAATTCAGTCCATAAAAGTGATATATACATAAAATGATATATTATTTATTCTTTAAAATAAAGGGAATTCTGAACACATGCTACAACATGGATTAACCTTCAAGACATACTAAATGAAATAAAGCAGTCACAAAAGGACAAATATTGTGTGATTCCACTTAAATGAGGTGTCCAAATGAGTTAAATTTATAGACAGAAAGTAGAATGGTGATTGCAGAGGCTATAGGGAGGGGAGATTGGGAGTTAGTGATAAATGACTGCTGACTTTCAGGGATGTAAGATGAAAAAGTCTGGTGATGGAGGTTAGTCAAGGTTGCACAACAATGTGAATGTACTAAATGACACAGAACGATATTGTTAAAAATAGAATGCTAAATTTTATGTTATATATGTATATTTAAACACAATAAAAAACAGATTTCAGAAGATTTAAATTATCTGGGGCTAGAAAAAGAATAATGAGAGTCAAAGGAAGCAAAAATTGGGTCTTTGAAAAGATAAACGAAATTGACAAATCTTTAGCTATACTGACAAAGGAAAAATAAGAAACAACAAAAATAATGGAAATCACAAATAAAAATGAAGAGATCACTAACAATCTTACAGAAATTAAAATGATTATAAAAGAATATGATTAAAAATTATACACTGACAAATTAGACAACCTAGATTAAATTGCATATTCCTAGAGACACACAAACAACCTAAAATGACTCAAGAAGAAATTGAAAATCCCAGCAGATCTGTAACAACAAAAGTGAATGAATCAGTAATCAAAATCTCCCAACAAAG